GGCGCGCGCTCACCTCCAGATCGCGCTCCCCGGGCTCCTCTTGCAGCAAAAGCAGCAGCAGCGCGCGCGGCCCCGGCAATTGCAGAGCCCTGCTGACGTCGCCAGCATTCCAAAGGGGGCGGGGACCGATATGCAGATGACAGAGTGACGTCAGGAGGCCGGAGACGACCCATTCCGAGCTTCTCCTTCAGGCTCCTCAGGGAGGGGCGGGACTCCTGCCCAGTCCTGTGCTTCTATTGGGCTCGCACTAATGATTGACAGCCCACGGGTGCACCTATCGGTCCTTTCGCGGGCCCACCGCCTCCAGCCTCCTAGGGAGGCCAGCTGGCCTGGTTCAATGGCTGTCATAGCCACGTGACGTGCCCCCCACCACCATGGGGCAGTGGTACGAGCCACGACACTTCATCTCCTTTATCAAGATCTATCCCACACCTCCAAGGACAAGTGGTATGAGCTGGTTCTCACCCTCGCCACTGTCATGACAGGGCACCACCCTGCACACAGGGCAGTGGTATGAGCCAACTCACACCATGCAACAGACCCGCCACAGCAAGCCAGCACACATCTCCCTGTCACAACAGTCACCCCCCCCACAAGGGATAATGGTACAAGCCACCATATGCCACCTCTTCTGTCACAGTTCCCACCTGCCTCCAGAGGAGATAGTGGTACAAACCACCTGAAGCTGCTCCCCCTTACATGTCATCCCCCCCATGGGACCGTGGTTCAAGCCACCCCAGGCCTGCTCCCCTGCTTCCCCCGTGGGATGATGGTACAGGCCAGCCAAGGCCCACCCTCCTATCTGGACATGTCATCCCCGTATGGACTGTGGTACAAGCCACCCCAGCCTGCTTCTCTGTCCTGATGTGTCATCCCCCCTGTGGGATGGTGGTACAGGCCGCCCCAGGCCCACTCCCCTGTCCAGACATTTCATCCCCCCCATGGGGCAGTGGTACACGCCATCATAGCCTGTTCTTCTATCGCAACAAGTCATCCCCCCGCAGGACGGTGGTACAGGCCACCCCCTATGTCCAGACATGTTATCCCCCCAGAGGATGGTGGTACAAGCCGTCACAGCCTGTTCTATCTCAACATGTCATCCCCCCACAGGCTGATGGTACGGGCTGCCCCAGGCCTGCTCCCCTGTCCGGACATGTCATCCCCCCACAGGCTGATGGTACGGGCTGCCCCAGGCGTGCTCCCCTGTCCGGACATGTCATCCCCCCACAGGCTGATGGTACGGGCTGCCCCAGGCGTGCTCCCCTGTCCGGACATGTCATCCCCCCACAGGCTGATGGTACGGGCTGCCCCAGGCGTGCTCCCCTGTCCGGACATGTCATCCCCCCACAGGCTGATGGTACGGGCTGCCCCAGGCGTGCTCCCCTGTCCGGACATGTCATCCCCCCACAGGCTGATGGTACGGGCTGCCCCAGGCGTGCTCCCCTGTCCGGACATGTCATCCCCCCACAGGCCGATGGTGCAAGCCGCCCCAGGTCCACTCCCGTCCTGACATGTCACTTTTGGGAGGCAGCTGGTGTTGAGGGAAGCGTCACATGGCCAGCTCCCGGGGCTCTGCTGGTCACCTGGGCCAGAGCAGCCTGCACTCTGCTCCCACCCCAGATCAGCACCCCCTAGTGTGGCACCCAGGAACTGCCCCCTCCTGCCTCCGCTGCCACTCTGCTGTCAATTATAAAATCATGAGTGGTGTGGAGAGGGCTGATAAAGAAAAGTTATTTATTAGTTCCCATAATAGAAGAACTAGAGGACACCAAATGAAATTAATGGGTAGCAGGTTTAAAACTAATAAAAGGAAGTTCTTCTTCACACAGCGTGTAGTCAACCTGTGGAACTCCTTGCCAGAGGAGGCGGTGAAGGCTAGGACTATAATAGAGTTTAAAGAGAAGCTAGATAAATTCATGGAGGTTAGGTCCATAAAAGGCTATTAGCCAGGGGATAAAATGGTGTCCTTGGCCTCTGGTTGTCAGAGGCTGGACTGTCTTCGGTCCACCCCATCTGGGGCACCTGGTGCTGGCCACTGTTGGTAGACAGGATACTGGGCTAGAAGGACCTTTGGTCTGACCCAGTACGGCCATTCTTATGTTCTTACGTTCTTATGCTGCGCGCCTTACTCCCCCGCCCCTGCCGGACGCGGCAGGGGAACATTGTCCCCGCCGGGCTTCCATCCCAGGGAAACAGGAAATACCGGACATTGCACATGTCACATTGCACATGTCCGGTATTTCCTGGGTATTTCCTGTCCGGGTGAATACTGGACACCTGGCAACCCTACCCCCCACCTGCTCTCCAAGCTGGGGAGGTCTATGGCCCCTAACCTCGGTCACTTCCATTTATCCCAACCTGGGCTCCTGGGAGAGCTAAGCGAAGTGTTTCAGGGGAAGGTTGCCCTGCTGGGTCACAGCCGCCCTGAGCCCTGCTCCTAGGGCCAGCACTGCCTGGGACAGCCTCTGGCTTGGCTGGCCCCTGAGGCCCAGCCAGCGGCCTGTCCCAAAGGGCTCAGGCGAACCATGGGGGGGATTAGATGGAAGCACCGTATGTCACACATGCTGCTGTTTTCAGCCGTAGCGGCTTCCCTGCCCAAGAGCCGGGAACAGCACCCCCTGAGTCACCCCGGAATCATCTCGTCACCTCCAAAGCATCAACTGGGGCTAGGAGCAGGTGCCCAAGAGCTGGGAACAGCACCCCCGGAGTCACCCCGGAATCATCTCGTCACCCCCAAAGCATCAACTGGGGCTAGGAGCAGTTCCCAGAGAACATGGGGCCCTGCAGCCGCTCAGGAGGGTCCCCCCAAAGCAGGCTGGGAAACAACGCAGCACAGAGCATCCCGGGGGCGCCATTGAGGGGTCAAGGGCTCCACCCCCCCAAAAGTTGGAGTCTCTAAATTTCACACTTGAGGTCTGCTTCAGTTTAGAAAAGAGGAGACTGAGGGGGGATATGACAGAGGTCTATAAAATCATGAGTGGTATGGAGAGGACCGATAAAGAAAAGTTATTTATTAGTTCCCTAAATAGAAGAACTAGAGGACACCAAATGAAATGAATGGGTAGCAGGTTTAAAACTAATAAAAGAAAGTTCTTCTTCACATAGCATGTAGTCAACCTGTGGAACTCCTTGCCAGAGGAGGCTGTGAAGGCTAGGACTATAATAGAGTTTAAAGAGAAGCTAGATAATTTCCTGGAGGTTAGGTCCATAAAAGGCTATTAGCCAGGGGATAAAATGGTGTCCTTGGCCTCTGATTGTCAGCGGCTGGAGAGAGATGGCAGGAGACAAATCGCTTGATCATTGTCTTCGGTCCACCCTCTCTGGGGCATCTGGTGCTGGCCACTGTCGGCAGACAGGATACTGGGCTAGATGGACCTTTGGTCTGACCCAGTACGGCTGTTCTTATGTTCTTATGTATGTGCAGAGCTGTGCCTGGGGCTAGGCCAGGGGTTTTCAAATTACAGATCGCAACCCAGGCCTGGGTGTTTGGCGCTGGGTCTCGTAGCTGCAGGGGGATCTGGTGAGCAGCGGGGGGAGCTAAGGCAGCTCGGCACCGCAGACTGCGCTGCGCCCCAGAAGCGGCCGCAGCAGGCCCAGCTCCTAGATGTGGGGGGAGAGCATCCAGGACTCGGTGCACTGCCCCTGCCCTGAGCACTAGCTCCACACTCCCATTGGCTGGGAACCTGCTGCCGGCTGCTTCTGGGGGCAGCATGGTCTGCGGTGCCAGGAGAGACAGGAAGCTGTCTTAGCCCCCTCCGCTGCCCGGGAGCCGCTCAAGGTAAGTCCCACTTGTCCTACCCATGACCCCCGCAAAGCCGGAGCCCCCTCCTGCAGCCCAAAGCCCAGCCTCAGCCCTGCCCCAGAGCCTGCACGCCAGTCACATGATGTCGGGTTGTGGCATCAGCGATTTTCTTCAACTGGGTCATGAGAAAAAAAGTTTGCAAAGCGCTGGGCTTGGAAATGTGTTTCAACCAGCTTGTGCTGCTCCCAGCTTTGCCTTTGGGGCAGGGGATTGTTTATAGCCACAGGGAGGCAGGGCGATTAAGGTAACAAAGGGCTTGTCAATGAACTTACAGGGCGACTCAATGCCGCCCACAGGTGGGAGCCAAAACAAAAAAGTCGTCAATATAACGGTCTTCTGATGGGATGCCTTTTAGTAGTTAAATTCCTGGACTGTCATTGCTCATTAAAAGTGCTGTCACATGGGTAGAAATCGGGGAAATATCGCATTTTAGTAATAGCAGCAGAAGTGACTTAAACGGGGCCTGTGTGTTGTGTAGTCTTGCCTTAATCTTTGTATTTATGCCCGTCAGTGTGAAAGAAACAATTTGCATATATTTGCATATATACTTGCACGTTTATGCAACCACACTTAAGTTGCAGGCCTCGGCATGTGCTGTGAGTATCATTGGCAGGGCTCGACAAATCACTGTATCTACTTGCCCGCCCCGTTCACTGGTGGCACGCGCATGCACAATGCAGGTCTTGCACATGTACAATGTGGGGCTGGCGAGTATGTTTCGCCGCCGTTTGTCAAGCCCTGTTGCTTGCCGCGGTTTGTCGAGCCTCAATCATTGGGATGGTCTAGACAGTACTGGGTTCTGCCGGGAGAGCAGGGGACTGAACTCGATGACCTCGCGAGGTCCCTTCCCGTCCTAATATTCTATGAGTCTATGACTGTCACCCTCAGGGCTTCCAAAATTGAGTGGCCATGAACTAATGGAAGGCTCTTTAGATGATCAGGAAAACATTGCCAGATACGCCACTTAAAAGCTAGGAAACAAAGGGTAGAAATAAACAGCGTGCGCCAGGGGGGTGGTGTTGGGACCAGCGCTGTTCAACTTATTTATAAATGGCTTTGAAAAAGGGGAAAGCAGCGAGGTGGCAAGATTTGCAGACACAACAGGACTCACAGTAGTTAAGTCCATAGCGGACTGCTAAGAGTTACAGAGGAACCACACAAACCTAGGAGACTGGGCAACATAAAGGCAGATGGACTTCAGTGCTGATAAGTACCAAGTAACGCACATGGTAAAATATAACCCCAACTATACCTATACAAATGGCGGGGTCTAGACGCTCTGTTTTCCAGAGACTCGGTAGCTCTTGGAAAGA